GAGAACACCGGCAGTTGTAGGCAAATTGGCTCACATCCACAACGTGTGATGGAGGATTCTAAAGGAACCGGAAAGCTCTGCAGCATCCGCAGGCTCGAAGCCACTGGCTTAACTCGTACATTATGCAGGCTCCACTGGAGTCGCTGCGCGGCTTCAGTCAGGTACCGGAGCCTCGAGGTAACCGCGGCATACCGGCTGCCATGGAGACGGCTCAGGCCTCTGAAGCTCTGCCGCAACGGAAAGATGGAGCGGCATAATGTGGAGCAACAGGACGGAGTCAACTGGATGAAACGGACACCGGCGAGGACGTGCAAACCGCTGAATAAATTCTCTCCCGGGCCCTCTGCGAGGTCGGTTGTAGCCGGCCGACCTCATTCATCAGGGGATCAAACATTGGAAGCGCAGCGCCCCCCCCCCGCCCCCCCACATTAAACACCAGTGTCCTTTTCAGCCTGTTTAAACCTGCTGGTTTGGCGGGGAGGAACTGATTGAGCGCTGCCTAGTGTCACTCTGCCTGTGGCCCGTTGCTATGATGAGTTCATTCAGCCTCGCGGACACAAAGAGTTAATGGCCGCTTGGATTATGCAATGGCGTGCCAGACGCCTTTCTCCTCTCTCCAACAACCCCCCCCCCCCCTTTTTTCCTTTAAAAGGGCCGAAGCTAAATTGGGCATTCCTGCACGTTTCAATCAGATGGATTTGAATGCGCATGCTTCGGCACCAACGTGGGAACAAAACAGGGATTTATTTTCCCCCCTGAAGGCGGGTCGTCCCTCTACAGCAGGGCCCCACACCTGCCCCGCGGCTCGGGGGTTGTCGCAGGGATTTACGACTGTCGGGGCGGGTTACATCTGAGCGGCAAGCCAATAACATCTGTATCCGTAGTTTTTTTTTTTTTAAGTGAACATGAGACCGTAGGTTATCGCTAATAGCAGATTAGTGATCCGGTAACTGCAGATTAGTGTTGAGGTTAAAGACGGTCAGCCAATGTCAGCCACTGAATCTGATAAGAGCAAAAATGTCTCATTACTGAGGGATCACTGACTTTGCTGCTTGAGGCTGGAACAGCTCCACCTGATCCCAGCAACGGCTGCAGCACAACATGCAACTTAAATATAAATAACATATTTCACATTAGCCAAGGAGGTGGATTAAGATTACTAGTTTTGTATGACAAACTAAAAAAGAACAGCAAGAGAAAGTATTTCCTTTTTGAAGCCGGAAGTAGTAAATGTTTGGCAGTTTTGGTCAGAAAAAGAAATGTCATGCTGCTTAGTCGTTGTAGGTCTACATGCAATTTAAATTATGAGCTCCCTTAATACAAATTACATTAAGAAAGAAATATTTTGAAGTCTGGGGCGGTTTGCATTACTGAAATGTCATTTTCAAGAGTTATGCTGCGGTAAATTACAGAGCGCTTCTGGCAAACTATCCAACTGAAGCATGTTGATGCAATTGGAAACGCCACAGGACAAGAAATAATAAAGGAGGGGAAAAAGCGTTGCCGAGTGTAACACAACAAAGTCAGCAGCACCGAGTCAGTAAACAACACATAACCCCCCCCCCACCGATAACACTGGCCCCCACGAGGGCCCCCTGGACCGACACCAGCATGGAAGGGGAACGAGAGACAGGGACACACACACACACACACACACACACACACACACACACACACACACACACACACACACACACACACACACATCTTACAAGCTACGACAATGATAAAGTGGTTCCTTTCATTGACCTTCCTCTCGGTGTGGAGAGAGTTTTGCTTTTGGACAACTATTGATCCATAACTCCTTTACAATGATTTTAATCAACACATTAAAATTAATCTGAAAATCAAGCACATTATTCCCTTTTGGGACAATAATTTATTGACAAAGTGAATATCAGAAAATCATGGCACATCAGGCACATATTCTGGCAGAGTTATAAGTTGTCAGATACGCGTCTTAGAGGCACTGTGATCTCCTTCGAGATCTTCAAAGGCGGCACAGCTGTATCAATTGTCCACAGTGGCGCCGGAGTAATAAGAACCGAGGAGACGGGCGCATCAATTCAGAACTGACAAAGACGCCAAAACGAAGATATTGGGTTGCCACGAGTGTAACACCGGATAAAATAAGACCCCCCCACGCGTGACGTGCACGTCTTATATATCTCTTCTCTTTCAGCGGCACGTCAATTCAGGGGGTTGAAGCGGCCTCGGTAGATACAATAACGCCGTATACAGCAATAGTGACGGAAAAAAACGGTAGTTTAAAACATAACCTTCATCGATTCTCTATGAGATGATGTGCATCGTGTGTTCTCGCAGACAGGGGAGGATTTATTGAAACTACACCGCACAAACCACTACGATGAAACACCACAGGCTACAACGTAAGGAATATCTGCCAGAATCGGTACATGTTAAGACTGAAGATCCACTAAAAGCTGTAGTCCAACCAGTGGATGTCAGCAGATAGGCGGTGAGTCGGTACGCGGCCCGCCGATTGTTGTGTAACAAAAGCCTTCGAGGACCAATGAGTTTTGTCTAGTTTTTAACTGAAACTCGCTCCAAATCCCCAAACTTCAATTACTGGTCAAATCACCACTTTAAAAAGTTACTACACGCCACAAATCACTTCCTTTCGCTGTCATAACAGGATGAAAGATGAAGCCTGTGCCGTTGTTGGGGATTGCGTTAGATGTTGCAATGTTGTGCATAGATGTTCATGGAATTTCCAACCTCAGCAACACAATTAGTGAAATAAATAATGGCGTGCTGAAAAAAAAAAAACAATGGCTCAATCATGATGGCCTGGTCTTTAAATGTAATAAAGTAATAATGATGTACAATATGGTTATACCGGCTTACTGCTTCAACAGCTGTGCACAAGAGATACCGATTTCCTTTTGACGATTGTCCTCCACCGCAGGATTGTAAACAGCCGCCCGATTGTAAACAGGCAAATTCCAACCGCACACGCCGGTGTTTATTGAGGCGTCGTCCTCTCATCCCCGCTGGATGGGACGGGGAACAGCCTGCGTGCACAGCGGGGTTAACCTGAGACAAGCGTCTGGATACAAAAACGGAGCGGCGGGTGGGCGCGCCAAGGAGATACAGCGGAAAAACCAAAGGAGAAAACCCTCATGGTGCGAGGGTTTGAGAGCCGTGCTGCACGTTGGCTCCGTGGACATTCTGATGGACGCAGCGGAGCCAGCGCTTGGTGAAAGAACAGGGAGAAGAAAAAAAAACAGGCTTGTTGACCCGAATCCAGGTGTTCGCAGCGGTCTGCTCTTCCTGCGGATATGTCGCAGTGTCTTTACAGTGGCTGGAATACACAAGTCAATAAATCTGCACTCCCAATTGAATTTCCCCCGCAAAGTTTGACGGCACGCCTCTAAATCGTCGTCAAGTTTTAGCTCGGGAATCCAGACGACTGATGACCACTGATCCAGACGAGCTGAAACGCAGATGTTCCCCAGCAGCAACTCAGAGGAGACGACAAAGTGTGCGAGGACGTTGACCAAAAAAAATGCTGCGTCGACATTCCGCGAGGAGCTTTTCGTTTACTCTGAGGACCACAGACAGAAAGCAGACTGGGGCGGCAAAAACGGAACGATATCTGTAAACTAAAAAAAAAAAAAAAAAGGAAATATTTGACCCCAGCGGCCTGAATCAGCAGATGGGAGCAGCCTCCACAAGTGCGTCCTGTCCGGGGTGGATGGATTCATGTGGGGAAAAAACGCCACTGTGCACCATTTGTGGCCTTTGCAGTGTTTCAACACATGGGGAGGGACGACCCCCCCCCACCCACACTCTTGAAAAAATAAAAAAAAGGGAGAGAGAGAGAGAGGACACTTTCTGAAAGCGGGCTGTCATGACAGTACCTGGCTGGGCTCTATTCATGGATGTTATAAACACAGACCAGCAGCAGCCTCCGTCTCCCCTGCTGCCGCCACACAGAGGACACATTCATCCCAAAGTGGGCACCGGGAGACGACTGGTGTGGGATGAGGGGGGGGGGTCGACAGACGGACACTTCAACTTAAAGGAATTTTTCAGCCGATCTGGCCTTGTGTTGACGGGCACGGGCAAAAACACAATCAGTGCTCGTCCGCGCTTCAGTCCACATGCGGGGATCAGATAAAAGTGACTCTGTTTTGACATGATGAGCGGCGAGTTAATGAGCCGGATCCTTGGCAGGATAAGAGCATTCCTGGCCCGAGCTGGGAAGGATCCGTACGTGGCTTTCTTCTCACTCTGCAGGCCGAGGTTATGAACTTTTTAAAAGGCCGTGTGTGTTTAAGGGGCGGGGGGCTGCATCAATGTTAATTTTTCCTTTTTCTGGCTCCCCTTTGTTGGAGGACCACTCAGGTAGACACTTAACACTGCCCCCCCCCCCCCCCCGGGCTGTGAATGGGAACTATATAAGGACTGGGCCCGAGAAAAAGAAGGGGGGGGGGGGGGGGGCAAACACAGTTTAGATGGAACCAAAACAGAAGTCCATGTGTTTGGTGGAGGATGGAAGATGATTATTATGCTTGTTGTTTGTGCTGCGATAGTGTTGTGTTCTAAGTTAAAGCCTTTGGAAATAAATAAATCAGTTATCTATCCCCCCCACCCCGGGTCAATGGGGGAGGGGTGCCTCCTTCCTCCATAGACCCACCTCCCAACTCATGTAATGTAACGATAGTTTAAAGTCATCTCAAGTTGAAATCATCAGAAAGCGTGTTTTCTGAAGCAGTGAGGGAGGAGGGCAGCGTGCAGATACCGCTCTCTGACGCCCGTGCGTGTGTGTGTTGTGTGTGCGCGCGCGTGTGTGTGTGTGTGTGTCTCCTGGTGCAACCTGGACTAAATTGAACCAGCCACAGAAAGCCCTTTAAGAAAAGCATGGAGGTCAATGTCGTGGTCTGCAGGACCCCCCCCAGCCTCCGAATAACTAGAAAGCAATGGGACGTGCACGCGCACTGCGCGTTTGAGCCGTACAGCAGCTCGTCACTGACCTTGGAGGCAGATGATTCCCAGGAGGCACATCGTTTCCACCGGCGCTTTCCTCCGGTTAGCCGCCGCGGGGCTGCCGCCGCCGTCCCTTCGCCGGGTCTCTCTCGGTAGATACATGACCGTCCCCGGTGCTCGGCGAATCCCCGGTTCCTGCGTTCTCCTTCGGCTACGGGAGAGCCGTGGGGTCGGAGAGAGGGAGCGACAAAGAGATCCGAAAAAGTAAGACTAACCGCGTTTACCTGCGCGGGTCTCCGGGAGAGCGAGGGGGGCGCGCGCACGCAGACGGCCACGCTCACCTGGTGGTCGTGGTGAACTTTGGGGAAGAAGGCTGGGACATGTGGGGACGGGTGCCTCGGCTCTGCAGGCCAGCCGGGGACCAGAACCCACGGAGCGAGTTCAGAGCCGCCGAAAGTTTTGATGCAAAAGTGGAAAGTTCCAGGTGGCCTACGGGGCGCGGGGCTGCGGGGAGTTTAGGCCGCCGTGGGTCATTCCAAGCCGGGCCGAGAAGCCGCAGTCCGCCCGCGTCCAGAGCCGCACACCGCCGGGCCAGTTCCGTCTGCAACGAGAGGGAGTTTCGCTCCGCGGTGTTTCCAACTTGTCTTCCTCCCACTCGCCTGTGTGATTTCTTTCTTTTCTTTTCTTTTTTTTTTTACACCAGCGTCAAGTGGGCGGAAGCAACACACGTGAGTTCCTGTGAGGACTTTCAAGATAAATGTCCACATTTGTAGCTGGAGTGCTTTCTCGCAATGTTTGTTTCCCATTGTTTGACCTTCAGTTTAATTGTTGTGTTGTGTTGTATAGAGAGATTCGCCTTCTAGAAAAAGCAATTTTCCGGTGGAAAGTCCTCGAACACAAGTCAGCCTTTTTGAGCCAACTTAGTACAGGTTCATAGATGCACATTATCTATACATCATCGTATTCCAATATTGTTTTCCTTTATCGTTTCAAAAGCGAGTATTTTTCTTCATATGATTCCCATTTAAATGGTAGAAGTGTAATATTAATTGACATTACAGAACCCAAACCCTCGACACAAAAAAAGATGGTTTTATTTTGAAATTGAAACGTCCAACATCCTGCAACAATGTATGTAATTCTTGTTGGATAATTTCCCGAAAGCGCAACTTCCGGTGGCCATTCCCAATCTGGGAAAAGGGAGACAACACTGCGACCCCCTGGTTCAAATGGTTCACTGTTACTTTTAACTGGACGAGGATTTGAATATGATTCAAAGTATTAAAAATCAGTCCAGCATATGTCTGCAACATAAAATGTCATACAAGAATAAATTACAAAACACAAATATTAATAGTGCATATTGGATGTTATTTTCTTGAATCCAGAACAGGAAGAACTTCTATTTTGCTATCGAGGGCTATTATCTGTGACATGGGATGCACATTCAGCCAACAACGACACTGAATCGTTCTCCCATTAATTTCCTAATGAAGTCTATCGTTTGTGAATTCACGGTCAGAATCTAATTTATTTATTTATTACAAATTAAATTAAAATAATATGTTGTCAAACCATCAAAAAACTATAATAATTATGAGACATACCATTTATTTTGGGCTTAACAAAAACATCTACCAAAGATGGAAGATCCTCATCAAACTTGAACATGCAGTTGTGTTTATCAGTACTCTCTGATCTAAAAAAAAAACCCACAATCAAATCTCAAATCATTGCAAATCAATACAGCAGTTGTTTAATTTATTAAAACTTAAAAAAAAAACTTTTATTAAGGGAAAAATCTCCAAGGCACATGACTCAATGTGCCCCTGTTTCAAAACATATTTAACCAACACAAAAATCAACTGTCCAGATGCCGAAATGCAATTTCTCAGCAGTAATTAGAGCTTTGTTGATTTCGTAAATGTAATCAGCAACTATTCTCATGATAAAAAAATTAACGATTGAATTTTGAAAGCAAAAAATCACATGTGGCTTTGTTGAAGCATCTTAAATCATGAGAATTTGCTCATATTTTTAGTCTCTTTTGTGTAAACACGTCGCCTTTTGTTACTATATTATGACTATTTACAGACAGAGTTTGTTACATGCATTCAAAGATCAACAAATAAAGAAAATAATGATGTTTAAAGCTTCATTTTTATATATCATTAATTTATCCATCCATTCATTTTTAATCAGTCTTCTGCTTGTCACACACTAGTTGTCCTGCATAGTGTGCGTTTTCACAACCGAACTAACCCGGAGGGCAGTTTGTGTACCGTCCTCTGGCTGTGGTGAGGAGCGTAACACAAACTGTAAACATTGTTTAAAGTGTGAACAGCAAAATGCAATGCAGACGTATCAGCAGCGGGGGGCAATCTTGGCCAATCCGACCATTTGAATGTTTCCGGCAAAGATTAAGGCTTAATCCCAACGTCCCCCCTAAAGCCTTAAAGCCTGAACCCTCAGCGATTTACCAACACCTGATGAATGAGTGCGAGTCTGTGAGGGCTTAAAATGGTGTAAATACGAACAGGACAGCACCTTGCTGCGAGATATCCTGTCACCATAAACTAAACCCACACAGAGTTAGTGGCAGCGTGCCTTAAAAGTCTGTGAGTCCCTAAAGATGGAGACTGGGATTGGGCCTGAATGTTAGTGATCCACTGGGTTGTAATACAGAAATTTCCATCCAACGCAGAGAGAAGACAAAACTTTAACAAATGAAAAAACATAATTTGTTAATACCAAACAAGTGTCCAATGCAATTAATCCCCAATATGCAGAATGATAAATATACACCAGTCCCTACTTTTATGTCTTTTCCACTTTAGGAAATCGACTAAATCAATCGATCAATAATCATCAATTATTTTGCTCAGAGTTGCGTTCGAAGCTACTGTGTACTTATTCTAACATATTAGAGTCTATGTGTGAATACTCTTATCAAATCAAGGACACTGCCGCCGGTCAGACGGTCTTGAAAATAAATTACCATGGCAACAACGGCTACATCAATTTGCTATCAAATGATGTTGGCCCGTGTGGTCGTTCACAACGGGCAACAGTATTGAATTTACTGGCAATCGCTGCCATAATATTCAGAGACACTACAACTTCATTGTCGAGCAAAAAAACCTAAACAACATAGAACTTCTAGTCCAAAGCAGACATGCTGTCAGAAACGACAGGTCGGTATGGCGACACACTCAATCAGTATTACGTTTGGAAAAAAAGAATTCTGAATGAAATGGGAGTGATGTTAGGGAGCAGACGTGGAGGCTTTGTGGTGGAGGGGCTCAGTTAGAAACAAACCACTTACTGTGTTCCTCTGTGATCCATAGCATTGGGAGTCTGTTTTGGTCTCAGTATGAGCTCCTGATTCACCTGTAAAGCATCAATCATCCCCTACCTGTCTGGGAGTTCATCAACTCGCTCATAAGTTTACGTTACGGATGTTTTTATTGCTGTTCCAATTTTGATCGTAAGTATAGGTGGGAAACACTATAGTAATGGGGAATGGAAACACACATAGTGCAGCAAACCCTTTAGTAGGGGAAAGAAAAAACAAGAAAGAAAGAAAAATAAAATGAATGCACTTCTTAAGAAAGAAACTTCAATATCTTAAATATCATGAATATTATTTACCAATACATCCACTTGCTTACAGAGTGAAATCAGCCCAATGAGAGTAATAAAACTGTTTTAAATCTTTCATAAGTGATCCTACAATTAATTTGGCACATATTTATTGTTTATATATTAGTTTAATTAAATTTAAATAGACAAATTTACAGTTGACCCTCTAGTTCTTTCTATGCAGGCAAAGTTTTATATGACAAAAGTACTAGTGTAATATGTAATATGATTTTATATATGATGCAATCTTCATATTGAGTGTGCTGCACCACTTCAAACAGCAGAGGAAGCCCTTGAGTCAGTCAATCAATTTTGATATAGTAGTAGTAGTTTTTCCGCTGCTGGACTACAGAGAACAAACATGAGCTCCTTTTTTTGTTGTTGACAACTGCATGTGGCGCCAATGTACACAGGGCTCTCAAGTGTCACGCATTGAGCGTGACAGTCACGCATTTCGGTCTCAAGTCACGCACTCCCGCCACGCATCCAATTCCTCAGGCCAAGAAATCGGACTCCGGTCCAAACCCCCCGTCGACCGTAGCGTCCGCCCCCCGAGAAAATGTCACGTTTTCTTGAAAACGTGAGAGCCCTGATGTACACAAATTCTATTCAATGAAGTGCACAATGTTTGTTATGGTGCCCTCCATGCTTATTTTCTTTGATGTATGGAGCCCCCATCAGCGTGATATTTTCTCAATAGAAATATGCAGCAACAGTATTCAAACATCGCAGTGAACATAGTGTGACCTTAAATGTCTCCATAGCAACAAGACATGCAATCATGTGGAAAACACAACTGGCCTCGTAGAGAGGGGGAGGACGGCCTGGCTTCTTCTACTCCAACTGTATGTGACACAGCATTCTTGTTTGTGATTTAGGGAATCTACAGAGCAATCAACATAGTGTGTGATCTACTTAAATATAAAGGACCACTATGTTTTGAAATTTCATTTGGTTCTGCAGCTCCAAACATTCATTTTCTGCCACTAATTTTGACGTCAGATAGTTGGACAAATCAACAGAAACCAGTTGTTTAACCATGTCTCATTGGCCACAAGAAGGATTTATTCATTTGCCTGAATCTCCTTGACTCTGAGGTCTAGATAAGCCCATCTTTTTGTATCTCCATGGAGAGCCTTGAATCTCTGTGTGCTCCACAAACACTAAAACAATGGTCTGTTTGCTTTGTTGCTTGTGTATTCAACAAAGTTTACGAGCCTGACCCATGTGGGGGTCCGGGGTTATACATTAGCTCAGAGCTTCACTGAGGGCTACTGATGTGTGGAAGAGCAGCTGAATGATTAAGCCAGTCCCAACAGACAACAAAGCTTGTTACCATAGTTACCAGGGTTTGGAGGATCTATAAGTAGCAGGGAAAACTTAACAACAGACAGCATAGTTTCCCTGCAGATCCTCAACGTCAGCAGCAGAATTTCAAAATCATGGTAAGTTTTACAGTTTGATGCAAAAAGGTCAGAAGGAAATGTCACAAAGTATGACATTTTAATCTACTGCTCATTTAGTCCCAAATGGGATTCAAGGCCTTCGTAACCTGACCTCTGTTTGTTGCTCTCCTCCAGCGTGAGTGCCTCTCTATCCATGTTGGTCAGGCCGGTGTCCAGATGGGCAATGCATGCTGGGAGCTCTACTGCCTGGAGCACGGCATCCAGCCGGACGGACAGATGCCCAGCGACAAGACCATCGGAGGAGGAGACGACTCCTTCAACACCTTCTTCAGTGAGACTGGAGCTGGAAAACATGTTCCCAGAGCCGTGTTTGTGGACCTGGAGCCAACAGTCATAGGTAGATAGAAATGTAGGATACAAAAATATTGGAATGGGATTTTCAACAATGAATTGGAATTGTGAATCGCTCTATTGTGCGTTGTTCCAATTCCAGATG